TAAAACGGCTCGGTAAATATTTAGCCCTGTATGAGAGGATCACGGCACAGTGTCGTTTGGGTCGACAGTAAATCTCCCACAGCCCACGTAAATCCGTCTTTTTCAGGCACCCGGAGCCCTCCGCGGCCGCTTCTACGCCGGCGAAGCACCATCAAGCTGCTGTACGGCCCCGGCATCGCCTCCCCTGGCTTAGCTCTCAGTCAATATATTGTGCACATGGTCAGTCTCTACAATATACTCACTGACACTGAACCTCCCAGAGCTCGTCCCGGTCCGCCACGGCCATCCTCGTCCTCCGGTGTGCCCCCGGCCGCGGCGCGGTGCGGCGGCGTCACAAATCCGAACGCAGAGCACCGGGACGCGGTCGGGCGATCTGAGGCCCAGGTAGGCGAATGCATTGCCCATCCAGGGCTATCACCTGGACCTATCAACAGGCGCCTGCGGCGCCGTGCTTAGGAGTTGGTTTTCACGTCGATCATATCTCCCATCTCCCCCATATCTCCCCCATATCTCGCACCGCGGGCATCACGTCGATCACGCCGAACTTGAGCCCGTCGGCGAGGCAGGCAGCCGCCGCGGAAGATCATCAGCCCGTTGAAGTCTCCCGCCGTCATGGTGTAGTCGTGCCCCTCCTACGGGACATGTGTCGGGGACGTGTCATGGACATGTCCTGGACATGTCGCCCATGGTGCAGCCGCCCCACTTCCTCGTGCATCCGGTCCGTCACCTTAGTGGCGAGGTCCTGCAGCATGTGGCAGGTCGCCAGCGACCACTCGCGGCTCGCCATCGCCTTCTGCGACGGCGCCATATGATCAGCAGCTGCACCGGCGTGGTCAGGTCCTAGGTGAGGGAAGGGAGGGCACGGTAAACTTCTCCACACACACGAGGTGGTCAGGTCCTGCGGGGTGGTCAGGTCCTGCCCGTAGATGTTGGAGATGGAGATGAAGGCCTAGGAAGTGTCCCGGAAGGGTCCCGGAGGTGTCCGGTCCTGCCCGTAGATGTTGGAGACGGAGATGAAGGGCCTTGGTGGCCGGGTGGGTGGTCTGCATGAGCGGCGTCAGATCCTCGACGTACGAGAAGCGCGTGAGCGCCAGGCTTGTTGTGCGAGTATATGGGCCAAAAGCGTCGAAAATGTCCCAAAAAGCGTGGAGTTTGTTGCAGCCCCACAGCCGGCGCGCGCTGCCAGGAAGCACCGCTCGCGTGTCGGCCGCACTCCCTGGCACCCAGTGAGTGCCGCGAACCGACCAGACCGAGTAGGCTCGACGCCGCGCTCGCTGTGGGGCTGCAACAAACTCGCCGCCGAACGTGCCACCGACGGCGTCCTGGCGGAGGTGGTGGAGTTTGAGACCTGAGGCTGCGGAGGTGACGCCTGAGGTACCGGCCCGTGCACAGCGACTCAGCCGGCGACCGCCACGGGCTCAGACGAGACTTGTCGACGCGTTCCGGCTCAGCTTCACCGTGGTCATCGGGCGTCTGTCGACGTCAGGACCACCCATACAGCTCGCGGGTTTGAGGTCGCAAGAGCCAAGATGGTGGCGTTTGGACATCCCAACCATCACACAAGACAGCCTGTAGGTGGTGGCGGGACGGCGCAGTGTTTGTGGCACTCGGCAGTAGGCACCCGCAGCACGGCCCCGCTGTCGGCTCTCACGGGCTGCGGAACCGGCCCCAGAGGGAGCCGGTCCGGGCGAGTGTGGCAGCTCCTGCGCTAGTATGGGCACCCTCTATCATAGCACTACTGATCCTGGTCATTAGAGCTGCCAGGGATAGCGTCAGGAGCCGGTAGGAGTCAAAACCCCTCATATTTGAGACTGTTAGACAGTCAGACTGAGACATCGTGGCCCAAATACTCGCACAACGAGCCGCCATCGCGAACGGAACCATCACTAGCGCGAGGAAGAGGAACATCACCGGCGCGCCGCGCTGCGAGCAGCGGCCGAGGTGCGCCCAGATCGACTCCTTCTTGAGCTGCGGGTTCTCGATGATGGTGGGGCGGTCGATCGTCGCGCCGAACTGCGCCACCGTGCCGCTCGACGCACGGCGGTACTTGCCGAAGGTGTGGACCCGGAGGTGTCCCGGAGGTGTCGCCCCGGAGTGTCCCGGTACGTGCCGAGGCGCGAGGGGCGCGCCGTCGAGGGTGAGCCCGAGCATGCGGTCGGCGGTGAAGAAGCGGGGCATGGTGAGCAGCAGCGCGGGCGTGAGCGAGAGCGAGACGAGCACGGACTGCAGCACCGCCGTCGCCACGCCATGCGCTCCTGCTCGAGTCGCACGACGGAGTCGCAGTGGCGAGGGGGGGGGGGCGGGCGGCGGCACCAGAGACGACGATGGTGTGGCCCTGAGTGGCGAGGGCGATCTCGAGCGACTGCGTGATCGAACGGCCGTCGAGGCGCTCCTAACCGGGGAAGTGTACGCAATAACGGGACAGGGTGGTTGTTCTCTCTATCTCCTCTTCTAGCTCTTAGCATGAGCTGCGCCCGGTGTCCGACCCCTTTTGCCAACACCTTAAACTTTTAGGCCCTCCAAATTCGGGTCGGAGCGTAGCGGAGTGGGCCCCGAGTTTGAAAAGGGCGACGGACGCTTGCGTCCTAGCCTCCAACAACGCCTCCCCGGCGCAGAGGGGCCCCCGGAGGGCCGGAGGGATGCACAACCGCTCCACGCCACGCCGCTTGCGGCGGTCCTAAAGAAAGAAAGAAAGAAAACAGACAACCCAAGGGAGGGATGGGGGAACTTGCGGCGGTCCTCTTCCCAGCTCCGCAATAAAATTCTTTTTCCGAAGCGCGCGGGAGGCTCAGCAACCGCCCACAACCCCGCCCCTGTTGTATGCCCGGACGGACGAAGGCTGGCTCGGCCGCCTCCCGGCGCGGGCACGCTTCAGCGGCGGCTACTGCTGCGCCGCTCGCGCTGCCGAAAAGAATCAAGGCGGCGGCGGAGAACGGCAAGGTCGAAGTGGTGCAGACGTGGCTCAGCGGGGCTGGGCGGGTTGACGCGACGTGCGTGAATCGCGGTGTGAGTGGCCGTACGCTCCTGCTGATCGCCGCCCACCACGGTCACAAGCAGCTGGTTGAACTGCTGCTGAAGCGCGGCGCAGAGGCGGACGCACGCGATGACGAAGACTGTACGGCGCTGATGCTCACCGCCGGCTGCGGCTACGAGCAGGTGGCCGAGATGCTGCTGCGGCACGGTGCAGGGATCAACCTGCAGGACCGCAAGCACGGCGTCACCGCGCTGATGGCCGCCGCCTGCCGCAACCATCCCGCCGTGGTGCTCCGCTTGCTGCGAGCGGGCGCAGACATGACACTGCGCACTGCGGAGGGCAGGTCGGCGCTGCAGATCGCCAAAGAGAAGGGCCACGCCGAGTGCGTCCAGGCCTTCAAGACGCATCTCGGGGCGGTGGCGGCGAGCCGGAGCAAGGCGCCGTCGGCCGAGCGCGGCGAGGGAGGCGCGGGGGCCGAGCCGAGCAGCGTCGGGGCGGTGCCAAAGGAGGTCGTGCAAGCGACTGAGCGAGGCGATGAGGCGGTTGTGCTGGCGTGGCTCGACGGCGGCGGGCGGGTCAACGCGACGTTCGAGTACATCTTTTCGGACGGCCCTGTGAGCGGCGTGACGCTGCTGATTCTCGCAATGGTGAAGGACCACGAGGGGCTGGCCGAGGCGCTGCTCCAGCGTGGCGCGGATGTCTCGTTGCAGTCCAACAACGGCGGCACCGCGCTGAATCTCGCCGCCGTGAATGGCCTCGAGACGCTGGTCGAGTTGGCGTTGCGGCACGGCGCGGAGATCAACCAGCCATGCGGCAGCTCCAGCGGCACCGCGCTGATGGGCGCCGCCGGCAGCGGCCAAGAGAAAGTGGTCGACGCGCTGATCCGGCGCGGCGCGGACATCGACCAACAGTCCAACAACGGCTACACCGCACTGAGTTTGGCCGCTTACCACGGCCGCATCGCCGCCGTCGTCTGCTTGCTGCGGGCGGGCGCAGATGTGACGCTGCGCACTACGGATGGCGAGACCGCGCTGCAGTTTGCCAAGGAGGAGGGCCACGCCGAGTGCGTGCGCGCCCTCGAGGAGCATGCGGCGGCCGAGAAGGCGGCGGAAAAGGCGGCGGCGGAGGCGGCGTGGGCCGCGGGAGCGGCGGAGAGGGCGGCGCAGAGGGCGGCGGAGGAGAAGGAGGCGGCGCGGCACGCCGAGGAGCTGCTGGCGGAGGTCGAGGCGGAGAAGCGCACCAAGGGCAAGAAGGGCAAGAAGAAGAAGAAGAAGGGCGGCGGGGCGGGCGGGGCGGGGCCGTCGCAGGAGCCCGAGAAGGGTGCCGAGGCGCCGTCGGAGGCAGACGCAGCCGAGGCGGCGAAGAAGGCCGAGGAGGCGAGGCTTCTCCTGCTTCTCGAGACGCTCACCGAGGAGAGGATCCGGTTTAACATCACGCCGGAGACGTCGGTCGAGGGGCTGGCGGAAGTGCTGGGAGAGGCGGCGGGCGAGGCGAGCGAGGAGGAGGGCGACGAGGAGATGGCGGAGGCGGCAGCGGAGGCGGCAGCGGAGGCGGCAGCGGAGGCGGCAGCGGAGGCGGCAGCGGAGGCGCGCCGGCAGGCTGAGGCGGAGGCAGCGGCTGTGGCAGCGGCTGTGGCAGCGGCAGAGGAGGAGGAGGCGGAGGAGGCGGCAGTAGCGGCGGCCGAGGCAGCAGCGGCGGCGGCAGAGGCGGCGCTCGCCGCAGCCAAGGCTAGGCGCGCTTCAGGTGCCGCTGCGAGGGCGAGGGTGCGGGAGGCGGCCTAGGCCCGGGCAAGGACAGCTGGCGCAGTGGCAGCCATGGGGAAGGGGCTCTCGAACTCTGGGGTGCGTTCTCTTGTGAACGATCGTGGCTGTGGGCTGGGCCTCGCGCCGTGCGGGCGCGCCTGCAGAACCAGTCCCTCGAGGTTTTGCGACCTTGCCGGGATCTGCCACTCCGAGATGATCTGGCATCTGCTCACACGAACACAGAACAGCCGTACGAAGGGTCCGGCGGTGGCGCGAGAATAGTATTTGCAGATGTAATATTTTGCAGATGACCGATCAACACACAAAACAAAACCGTGTGGTCAAGTGTGGCACAAGCGAGATAGATGCGACTTTAGAGCCTGCTGGGTCCAACAGCAGGCGGCGCCGCGCCCGCGGAGGTGCCGAGAGGCACCCGCCGGACAAGCGCAGCGTGCAAAAGCGAGCCCTGGCACAGAGCATCTCACAGAGAGGGAGGGGAGGGGCGAGAGGGGCGAGGGGACAGCAGGAGAGGAGGGAGGAGGGACTGAGAGGAGGAAGATAGCGAGATCGACGACAAACTGCCCCACCGTCGTCGCCCCGAGGGGGCGGAGCAGGCACGAGATTGGACGAGATCGGATTGGTCCCCAGAGCAAAAAGGCCGGCGCAATAAGTACGAGGTGACAGCTAGATGGTTGCTCCGAGCGGGGTGCCCTGACCGCTGCGGGAGGGGGAGAGACAGCGCCGTCAGTCGCAGTGCCGCCGCTGCAGGCTGCGGCACACACTCCCTGCGATGCTTCTGCTAGAGTCGCCGCACGCCCCCCCCCTCCCACACATGCCCAGAGGGGACAGGGGGGGGTGGGGGGCAAGCTGCTAGATTGTGTGGCCAAGGTGCTCGAGGGCGACGCCGTACTTCCACTTCCAAGAGAGCGAGCGGCGGAAGCCAGGCGGCTGGCCGATGCCTAGTGGTCATCACAGAGTCGGTGTCAGAGAGGCTGTGTCAACGAACGGTTCTCCGCGAGGAGCAGGAAGGGCGTCTGGACGTCGGCATCTCCGGTGAGCTCGCGTGAGCTCGGCCGATCTCGGTATGGCTTGAGGCAACCTCGGCTCCTCTCGGGCTCCGCTCGGGCTCCTCTCACCCTCGAGAGGGCAATCTCGGGCAATCTCGGGAGATCTCACCCTCGAGAGGACAATCTCGGGCAATCTCGGGAGATCTCACCCTCGAGGCCAAAGGACGGTTCTCTCCCGATCGCCTCGCGCTTGGCCGGCTGCTTGAGCGGCCAGAAGTTGGCGTCGTCGGGGACGAGGGCCATGAGGCACGGGATGGTGACCTGAGGGGTGAGGGCAGCGTGGGGGGGGGGGGAGGGTGTGAGTCAGTCAGAATGGGGCACGGGGACCCGTGGCCCGAGCAAGGCGCCAGCTTACGGCGCGTGAGCTTGAATTTAAACAAACGGCCTGCTCAATCCTCTCTCGCCAGGGTCGAGGGTGGAGACCGTGCCACACCCTCCAGAATTCATTGGAGCGTACCCAGTGGTCTGAAGGAGGGTGTAGAGGATGTAGAGTGTAGAGCACGGCAGAGCACAATCCCACGTCCGCTCGTAGTTGTGGCGCGGCGTGGTTCGCGCGCTGGCCAGAAGAGCGCCGGCCATGCGAGGCGAGGCATCACGCTCGAAGACGAAGGCGACGCCTAGCTCGAGGTACCACCCTCGCCGCCTATCGCCACCGCCACCTTCGCTGCCCTCGCCCACCGCCTAGCTCAAGGTACCACCTTCGCCGCCCTCGGCCTCACCACCGCCACCTTCGCTGCCCTCGCCCACCGCCGCCCTCGCCGCCCTCGCCACCAGTGCACCACCCCTGCCGCGCCGTCGAGACCCCCCCCAGCAGGGATGGGGAGAAGTGCAGGCGGTACCTAGCAAATCAATGTGCGGCCGCTCTCTGCGTTGTCTCATTCTTCGTTTCTGCGACCAGCGGCCACTCGATGCACGGAGCGGCGTCGGGCAAGCTGTGCCAAGAGCCAAAGCTGTGGTTCAAGGAGCCCGCCGACTGGCGCCTCATATCCGGTTACAAAAGGACAAATTTCTTGATCCCGGTGATGGAGAGAGAGAGAGAGAGAGAGAGAGAGAGAGAGAGAGAGAGAGAGAGAGAGAGAGAGAGAGAGAGCGAGAGCGAGAGCGAGGTAAATGTGAGGGTGATGGGAGTTTGAGTATATGGCGAGGGGGGTGGAGTGGAGATTTTGAATAGGTGGGGTTTGGGGTATGGAGTTGTGGAGGATCGATGGGGGAAAGGTGGAGTGGGAGATTATGGAGGTGTGTGGGAGGTGTGTGGAGACTGTCGGGAGTTTCATGATAGCAGATGGGGTTTTAACTGTGAACTTGTAAAATGGTTTGTGTGAATCGGACGTATTTTCTACTCAATAACAAGGCTGTGAAAAGTGGTGGTAGGCTGTATTTGGCGACGACTCATACCTGGAAAATGGTGGCCAACTTGCGGGTTGCCCTTGCGCGCCTCCAGCCAAGCTGGGGTGCGCTCGCTCAAGTGCCGCCATGACTGCCGCCCACGTGCCCACCCACACTCGCATCCATGTGACGTACCTAAGTGTTGCTGTTGGATATTAGAGCCCCCCAAAATTAGCCATTTGCGGTTTCTGCGCGCCAGGGCTCGCGCTCGCTTAATGCGCTCGCCAGTCCAAGGCGCCAGCTTACGGCGCGTGAGCTTGAATTTAAACAAACGGCCTGCTCAATCCTCTCTCCGTCTCTCGCCAGGGTCGAGGGTGGAGACCGTGCCACACCCTCCAGAATTCATCGGAGCGTACCCAGTGGTCTGAAGGAGGGTGTAGAGGGTGTAGAGTGTAGAGCACGGTAGAGCTGTACGCGACAGCTCTACCGTGCTCTAGTACAGCTCTACCGTGCTCTACACTCTACAGTACAGCTCTACCGTGCTCTACACTCTACATCCTCTACACCCTCCCTCAGCGCTCAGGTTGCGGTCGGTAGGGACCATCAGCGCTGCCGGTGCCGCCGCCTCCGCTGCCGGGTCCGCACTCGCCATCCCCAGCGGGCCGCCGCTTGCGATGAGGCGGCACGGGCGCGAATAAAGTGGTCTTCGGCGCGTGCAGGTGTCGGGTGCACCTTGCCTCCTTGCCGCGAGGGAGGCCTGCAGCACCTCTGCGCAGCTTTGTGCAGGGTGGCTGAGCCCAGCTTTGAGCGTGTCGGATGCTCGCCACGCCCTGTGCGACCGTCTTGCGAGCTGCTCAAGCGCGAAGACACATCTTCTAAGTGGTGTACCTGTGCTAGTGCCAGTGCGCGCCAGTCCCGTGCCCAGTGTCGTGCGAGGGAGTTTTATTGTAAAATTCTAAGTCAGCGCCGCCGGGCGCGCCGATGTCTGATCATGAATTCATGATTCATGTTGAACGGCACTTTTGAGAGACAACATAATCCCCCCCCCCCTTTGCACCTTTGGACCAAAGCCACCAGGCAAACGAACATTGTTCGTTTTGCCTAAACGCGAAAAAAAAAGGCCGAGCAATCGCGTTCGCGCCAGCCCTGCGTTGCGTTTTTTCTCTGAGACCACGTGCCTCTGGACCGCCGTTCTTGAAAAAGTGGGTGGGTAAACGCTTCGTAGGCCCAAGATCGTGGGTGGGTGGGTGGGTGGTGGGGGTGGGTGGGTGAACGCATCGTAGGTCCCGGATGGTGCTTGGTGGGTGGGTGGGTGGGTTGGGTGGGGTTGTCACGCGGGCTGGTTTTCTCTTCTCCTTCTTCGCGCGCGTCTTCGAGGCACACCTCTCGTCATTGCCACAGCATGTCGTTCCTCGCACCGTACCCACGCGACGGCACCAGCTGCTCGACGAGTGCGACGCCGCTCTAGCAGCTCGAGGAGGGGTTCAAATACGATATACGTGGCGGCCATCGTCTCCGCCGAGCTCGACGACGAGGCGGCCGTTATTATCTCCTGTCCTCTCGGGAGGGCGGCGGCGGCGGTGTAGAGTCGGCGCTGGTCGGCGGCGCGCTCCCGATGACAAATATTCGCCTCACAGTCCAACACGGCTGCTCACACGCCCAGCCGTGCTCTGGTGCGTCGCTTGGGTCGCCTCTGCCGCCGAGATGTCGAGTCCGGGGCGCACTCTATTCGACTTCTCTTGGGCCATTATCTGCCCTCGGGAGGGCGGCGGCGGCGGCGTAGGGGCGGCGGCGAGCTCCCGGTTGCAAATACTCGCCTCACAGTCCAAGTACCAAGATGGCGGCTCGGCGCCCCCAACCGTGCACCAGCGTGCCTCTCTAGTCCCGCCTGCCACCCAGATAGCGAGGGCGGGGCGCACTCTTCGACTTGCACTTGGGCTATTATTTGCCACCGGGAGGGCGGCGGCGGCGGCGTAGGGGCGGCGGCGAGCTCCCGGTTGCAAATACTCGCCTCACAGTCCAAGAGATGGCGGCTTCACACGCCCAACCATGCTCTGGTGCGTCGATTGGGTCGCGTCTGCTGCCCGTGTCTCTGTCTTATCGGCGCGACGACAAACAACAAGCTACCCCACACCCTAACCCACACCCTAACCCTAACCCTAACCCTAACCCTTGCCTAACCCTAACCCAACCCTAACCCTAATCGGAAGAACTCAGAATGGTGTCATAGAGATTGCAGCCATCCTCCAGAGCCATGGCTGGTGGTAATTCGATGGCAGCCGATGGCAGCCGTCCCGCGAGGCCGGGGGCGACAAGCGCGCAGCCATTTGTGCGTGTGGCGGGGGAGGCGGACGGCTGCCATCGAATTATCACCAGCCATGCTCCGGAGGATGGCTGCACTGACTGTGCCCCAGCCATAGTAGATGGCTGAAATGGCTGTCCCCCAGCCATCTTTCCCAAGATGGCTATGATGTAGCCAGCTCAGCCAAGAGGGCTCACCTCGAGGCGGGCGGTGTGGCTGCGGTAGTGCGTCTCCAGCCATGTCTACCAAGGATGGCTGCCGTGTGTGTGTTGCAGCCATCGGCCTGGAGGCTATGGCTGCGCTGTAGCTAGCTCAGCCATCCTTAGGTAAGATGGCTGTGTAGGAGACAGCACAGCCATAGTGCTCTTACATTCCGAGGTTAGCCCCCATCAACTGTGGAAAAGAATCTTACAAGCCAGGAGCCCGCACAACACTGGGCAAATGAATTTTAGACAGGAATTTCCCTCGCACGATATTAGGCACGTCGGGTTGCTGCCCTAATCCCACCAGGGCTTGTCTGCTCTATTTATTTATTTACACTAGGCACGGGACTGGCGCGCACTAGGCTTAAAAGGGTGGGCCCTGGGGCGCCTGCGGCTTAAACGGCTTAAAACGGGCCATGGCCCGCTTTAAGGCTGCCTGGGCCGCCGATTCCTCAAACGGTCTTAAACGCTTAAACGGTGCGGGAGAGCTCCCGAGGTCGATGGTCCCGGAGGAGCTCCCGGTAGAGACGCCGGAGGCCGGGTAGCTGGCTACAATCAGCTAGCCTAGCAGCTAGCACGCGTCCCCTATGCATAGTATGGCTCCTGCCAGTACACCAGACTTACAGATGTGTCTTCAGAGGGGCGGGTTTTTGTGCCTAATAACGGCAGTATTGGAGAAAACGGCGCAGAACGCAGCGACGCATGTGCCGGTGAGGCCAATTTTCTTAAACGGTCTTAAAAGAGGGACCCCCGTGCCTGCAATCTCTTAAATGGCAATTTAAGCCCCCAAAGCAAACCCCCTCATTAAAAGGTCTTAAAAAAATCCGGCCCTCAGAACCCTAGGGTACCCTAAGCCAGGACGCGCACGAGAGGCCAGCTGCGATCCCGCCGAGTGGACGGTAATCGGTATCACACCGCGCCACCTGCTGTGTGGTGCCGTCCACTCGGCTGGTCAAAATGAAAATCTTTTGTAACGGGGCCCGGCCCGCGGGCGGCAGGGGGCGAGCGGCTGTGCCCCACAACGAAGTGTGAAAAAACTGAAATGGTGAACTAGCCAAAACGCTCGGCCACTTGAGGCGAACTGCGGGTAAATAAATATTTTTGCACGGATGAACGCGAGCTCGTGGGGTCCACGAAAGCACCGCTTGGCGGTGTCAGAACCGCCCTCTTTGACCCTGGGGGCCGAATCTGCGCCCTCTCGGCCCCGGCGGCGGTCCCAGAGAGGGCCGGCACGCGGGCTCCGCCGACGCTCTCGCAACGCGGGTCGCGCCGCGCGCCTCCCGGACGAAGCGTGTTGGTGCGCGACGGCGATCCTCGCCTGCGGGGAGCGGAGCACACGCGTCGGGATAGCGAGGGCAGCACAAATATTGCACTCACGTCCCAGTATGGCAGCAGCCGGACGGGTTGGGTGGCGTGAGGGCAGGGTGGTGAGGATGATTCCACAGATCTCGCTGGAAATGGCCGTGTCCTTCCCGGGGGAGGCAGGCGAGCACGCACCTCGCGTCCGAGCGCGAGTCGATGAGTGGTCGCCGAGAGATCGCCGAACCACGTTTCGAGTGCGCGCGCACACAGCACAGCTGCGGGTTGTAACTCGACTGCCGATCGCGCGTGCGGGATGTA